CAACGGGATAGCAAAAAGCAGCAATATGCTAGTAAAATGCTCAAAGTAGCTAAAGGGTAATTGAAATCTTAAAATATCTAAAGGCTAGTTGGAAGCTTAAAGTAGCAGAACAGTAGCTAAAAGGTAATTGTAGCATAAGAATACAAAAACAGACAAATTACACTTCAAAGAACAATATTTTTGAAGGAATCTGAAAAGCTATTTCTCTGTTTTTGTGGTGAAAGTTTTCATTACTAAAGTTAAATTTATAAAGATCATAAAAAATACAAAAACTAAACATCGCAACAGAAGTAATAAAAGTAAAGAAGTAAAAATAAAGCAGGTAAAAATAAGAGGAAATTGCTAAGAGTATTCAAACGATGAGGTGCGTATTGGAAATGTTGCTGAAGGTTTTTACAGATTTTTTTCCCCCTTTTCCATTGAATTCAACAAACTCCAGTCCAAACAAAGAAAAGCTGAATGGCTGCACGTAGCTGCGATTCAAGCTGCTTCACATTGGCTTGTGTCACATCAAATTAAAAATCCATGCTCTTTTATCAAATTGTTGACCTACTTAAAAAGACGTGTCTCCGTATAAATAACGGCAGCAGCAGCCTGGGAGGAATGTTTCATAACGGCTTGGCGTGACGGCCCCGTTTACACCATCTGAACGCTCAGACATAACAAAGATTTTATTCTTTCTGTCAAAGCAACCTGCTCCAATTCTGTACCAATACTCTGGCAAAGATGTGATCCTTCTGGTGTGGACGGATGGTGGTGGTTGTTGTTTTTGTTTTCTTCCATCAGAGCAGATACGTCTTCTGAGATTGACAGGAAAATATATCAAACTAAATATCGAACTACTAAAGGAATACCTGTCAGGAGACACTTGTAGAAAATCAGATTTCTGTTTTCTAACTAGATTTATTCAGCAGGAAAAAAAATGCAGAGTTTAGCCAGAAGGTAAATTCTTTCATAAAGAGATCGCCTCCATCTGTGAGTTTATCACAGAGGGATCCTATATAGTCGATATATAAATGTCATTATCTCTCATATTTATCATAAAAAGACAGGTGATATCTGTTCATGAGTCACCGTATAGTTTTTTAATGAAACTGTCAGAGTAAGAAATATTACTTTTATTGTTTAGTAAATGTTTGTCAAGCCATTAAAACAAATAATTCAGAGAATTGTGAATGAAAGACACAGCTGTGGTGTGAATTATAATAATAAAAAAATGTGAGTGCAGTGTGAGTTAGCCTTGTGTTTTTACATGTAGAAAAGCAGCTCTGAAGCTTTATCTGCACACACAGTGTGGGCTGAGGTTTGCTCGCTGATTTGGCACGAGTTGATTTTCCACCCGGCGAGGTCAGAAGGCTTATCTGGAGCACTTTCTCTGTTTAGCGCGCAGAGCTGCACCATGCAGCCCGCACTGTTTGGGAAGGAATTAAAACATCACAGTCCTCCACAAAGACGCAAATCAGCATTTTGCTGCTCAGTGGACCACTGCTGATTTGCAGGAAAACATCTGGTAGGGGTTTAACGTTGAAGCTGCAGCAGGTTTGTACCGTTACAAACTTGACATCCCCTACATGACCTGTTTTATTGGCTTTGAGATGCCAGCTACATGAGGCCAGGATGCTTTGTTTCAAAAACAAATAAACAAAAAAGTTCTTATTTTATTGCTCAGCCTGGCAGCATGTTTTCATTTAACAGTATGTTGGTTTCATCTCATTGGAATCAGTTTTTTTTTTTAAAAACTTACATTTTGTTAACTGCTTCAGCATTCTTATTGAGTTACAATAAAAATCATTTTTGATCATTAAAAAAAGCTTAATGAGCATAATCCTACAATGAAAATGCTTTTATTCTGAAATAAAACACAGATCTGTCAGTTTTAAAGGTTAGCAGGAAAAGCAATACACACCTTTTTCTCTGAAATTAAAGTATTTTACCTTCTTCACTCGGGCTTTGGATGATATTTATTTGATGATTCAGTCTCTACCTTAGCTGGCAGTAAATGTTCCTATTTACTGTCAGTAGTAGACTTCAGTTAGTGATGAAATCTTTAAAAGCTTCGCTTCTGCTTTCTACCTGCATGAATATCTCCCACCAGTTTGGTTTCTACTTTTGAATTCGTTCTCATATTTGGCCCTAAGAACTAAATACAGCAGGAATCGCTTTCATTATCAAGAGCACAGTACAGCTTATCTGAGTGTTTTTACTCAGTTGGCATCACTGGAAATGTAAAAACACTTGAAGTTATTGCGCGAATTCACCTGGGATTCACTGCTGGCAGCTTGACGACACCATCGGAGCCAGGTGAGGCTCGAAAATGGAACAATGTGGAAATAATCTGCCGCTGTTATCTGGGGTTTTTTTTTATTTGAAATTCAATTAATCAAACGACAGAAAACAAAATCGTAGCTGTGACAAAGTAAATAACATGATACGCTTTGCTCAACAAACTTATTCAGCTTCATTAAACACAGACAGCTGTTATTTAGTTTTCATTTTGGCCCTGAAAACGGTTAGATCAGAACTGCTGTCAGCCTTGAATACAGATAAATATTTTTAAAACGTGGATTAATTGAAACAGATAAAAGCAGCTGTGTTGGGTTGTTTTTTACTCTGTGCCACGTGCCTTTATATGCATTATAAGATGAACAGGAAATCATCAAGCATCAAACTTTGCTTTATCAAGATATATCAAGTTTAGCTTAATAGCTCTTATGCAACCCTGCTGACAATATAATACTATAAAGATAAAGTCTGCCTCGTCTCATTTATTAATAAATTTTATATAACACATTAGTGTTCACTTTTTGTTGGCCGGCGTTATTTCCTATGACTTGTTGTTGTTGCAGTATGTTAACATCACATTGTCTTACTCGCTTGTTTGAAGTTTTCATTCTAGGAAGTAATTTGTTCACCCTATTGTGTTTTTTTTTTAAAAAAATCCATTTTAAAATAATTACAGTGGTAAAAAAAGATCACTTTTAGTTAGAGGATGTAACAATTAGATGTGTGAAACAAGAGAGTCTATGAGGGGAAAATGGACATTTATGTACAGGGAAAGTGGAATTAAAGTGTTTGAAGGGCTGAATAAAGAATGAAGTTCAAACCCAAAATATACAGGTTTTGACTTGAGCAAGGGTGATGTAAGGTTGTAAAATATATAATTATAGACATCAGAGATGAGCAACTACCATCTGAAAGGATGTGGGGACAGTGGCAAGTTTTGTCCTGATCAAATTCATCCAAGATTGGATAAGACCCAGATGTCTAATAAAAGTCAGAGGACTGATGGATAACAAGTTAATCATTATAACTCCAGCCATATAATCCTCAGGCTGTCATCTGACTGCTCAGAGACAGAGCTGGTTATTGGCCAAACATGCATAAAATGACTCCGTGAATGATTAACAAAAGTCACATGCTGCAAAATGGAGATCCCCAAATTGAAAATGTGATTTAACAACATGAGGATAATTTTTAGCTTTTTTTTTTTTTTTGCATTAGTTGCAACCTTGGATTGACCATTAAAGGAACAAAGAGATGAAGCAGAAGCACCACATTCTTATCTGCTGTTCACATGAAAGACTTTTCAAATGAACTGGGATAAACAGGCTGAAGGGCATTGCTCGACATTGAGTTTTTTATTATTGATCCGTGTCGGGTAGTGAGCCATAAATTTTCCTTTAGTTAGGAATTAAATCAATAGATAATTAGCCTCTCGTTGAAATCGGCCTCATGTCTTTATGTTAGCAGCTCAAACACTGTCTGATGATGCTCCCTGTTTGCACTCGTCACTTAATGAGCACATGGTTCTTACTTCATCTAAACCTTCTGTAACTTGGAACATTTAGGAAGGTTGAAATGATTCCCGCTGGGAAAGTTATGTCTTAAAATCCATAACTTCAGTGAAGTTCAGTAATGGGCATTTAAAAGGAGCTGATTTGGGGTGAAATCTGACTCCTGTTTGGCCTGCTTCTTCTAATAACTGCTTGTGTTCTCCGTCACCCATAATTATATCACATGTTGGTGGAATAAAAAAGTTTTGATTATTATTCAGAACAGTTTAGTTTTAGTTCTTTTTTTTCTTTTCTTTTTAAAGCAATGATCTAGAGCAGTTGCTCCTAAAGTTAGGGCCGGGACCCCTTTGTGGGTCATGAAATATCAAGTGAGGGTCCCCAGATGATTTGTTATGGAATATATATATTTTCACCCTAATTATGTTGTTGTTATGCCCAAATTAGTAAAGTTTGCATGTAAACAAGTAATATCTTAGGTCACAAGTTTCTGCAGTTGTAAAGCAGAAAACTAGCTAAAAGAAGCAAAAGGCTATCTAGAAGTTAAAGTGACAAAAGATTGACTTAAAGATAGAAGCAGAGCAAGTGTGCTGAAGCTGATTTTAAAAAAAGAACAATGTTTTAAATAAATCAAGGAGGATCTCAATGTGTATGGGAAAATATTTGTATATAAAAGTACTAAGTACAAATGTTACAAAAAACAAAAGTTGTAACAGGCATCAGCTAAATGAACTGAACATTTTGATATATGAACGACTAAAATAGCACAGGAAGTAGACTGGGAAAGAATGTGCAGACAAATAAAAAGGGAAACTGTGGAGGAATGCTGACTCAGCACTCAATCAGGTTTTGCTTTAGCATGCTCTAAATGATTAACGGTCACTATTTTTTCAACATCCTGTGCTTTAATTTGTCACTTTGTTTTCTGTAGAGATGAGTCAGACACTGAGCCTGGTTGTTTTACACTGCTCATGATTAAATCCAAACTGCTGAGTGATAATGTATTTGTATCAATCTGGGGTTTATACATGTAAAGTCACTTGATTTCACATTCTCTCCTGTTTTTTTCTTTTTCTTTCTTTCTTTCTTTCTTTCTTTCTTTCTTTCTTTCTTTCTTTCTTTCTTTCTTTCTTTCTTTCTTTC